AACCAAACCAAAGCAAACCACAGGTTGAACATAATGCCATCATTAGCTACAAGGCAATACGCTGAGTGTGAGTGAACAAACCAAAGCAAAGCAAAGCAATGCAAACCACAGGTTGAACATAATACCACCATTGGCTACAAGGCAATATGCTGAGTGTGAGTGAACAAAGCAAAGCAAAGCAAAGCAAAACTAACCACAGGTTGAATATAATGCCGATACCATCAATAGTTACAAGACCTATCGGAAGAGTACAGGTGTTTGTATTTTCCCGAGGAAAGAGAGGTCAGTGAACGCAAGAACAAGTGCACACACACTCGGGATATCGTTCACACAATAGTACAAACAGTTACCGAAACACGTGATCTCCATGACTTGGGATTATAGTTCCTTGTAGGTAGGCGTAATGCAGACAGGCAAGATCCATAACGTTAATGGAAACGTATACACACACACCTCTACGACAAAACTGTGCGCGACAGGGCCACATAGCACACACACAGAATGAGACTACGCGGGACATTAAACGCAGCACCAACTGACGAGCGAATGGCAGCCCACCGACTGCAACACGGGCGACTGTCTTAGCTCGGCTGTGCGAAACGACAGCCATACACTGCCGGAGCAGATGATCAGGAACAGCTAGATAGGACACAGGCACAAACAGCTAGATAAGACACAGGCACAAACAGCTAGATAAGACACAGGCACAAACAGCTAGATAAGACACAGGCACAAACAGCTAGATAAGACACAGGCACAAACAGCTAGATAATACACTGGCACAAACAGCTAGATAAGACACAGGCACAAACAGCTAGATAAAACACTCAGGCACGCACAGCTGAACAAACACACAGACACGCACAGCGGAACACACACACAGGCACACACAGACACATACCTTTTTGTGCAGTTGCTTGGATGAGCGTACTCCTCCGAGTGCGAAGGTCAGATTGCGCCCAAAGATGATCGCCTGTGTCAACAATCCTAGGGCTGAGTATATTCCTGTGTGTTGGGGGCAGAGGTGATTATTACACCCCACAACGAATGAATGCAGGCAGCCCCGATAGATGTACTCGGGATATTGGGTGCAGATAAGCCCTATGAAACGGCCGCAAGGTGCATTTAGCGGGCACATAGGGCGCTTGACGAAGCATGGGTTAAAGATATGGATCAGTGGGTGTACGAGAGAAGTAGCAACACATCTCAGACACACACTCCATCTGCATGATACGGTTAGTAACGTTGGGTATGGTTTATACTGAAACATTGTTCCGCACGGGGCCAGGTGAAATAGGACCGTCTTGTAGGCAAATAGGACAATCATTTAGGCCAAATAGGTCAGCCCCACAGGTAGAATAAGGCAGTCTTTTAGGTTAAATAGGTATAGGTCAGTCCTATAGGTAGAACGGGATCCCCTTAGGTGAAATACTACCGTCTTGTAGGTAAATAGGACAGTCCGTTAGGTGAAATAGGACAGTTATATAGGTAAAATGGGACAGTCCCTGTAGGTAGAAAAAGACACTCCTTCAGGGGACAGACGGGGCCATCATGCACGAAAATAGGGCAAACGCCTAGTCATTCGGGCACACATAACTGGTACCCGTAACATGCGGCTACAAACCCAACTCAAACCCAATAACTCAGAACATGAATAAACAACGAACACCACCAACACACAGCGGGCATCAACTGAACCAGCAGCAGCACCCCTCAGCACAGACGGTTGCCAGCAAGAAAAAAGTAGGTATCATTCAACGTTACTAAGCACAGACTCGCATAGGGATAGGTGATAGGTGAGCTAGAGACACTTTCACCACACATATATACAACTCATAGCACTGCGGCAATGATACACCTACCTACATAACCCCCACCCTGACACTTCATCACACAGTGCTCCACGGGTACACCTACCTAGATAACCCCATGTCCCATAACCCTGGAAGGTTGCATCAGGGCGACCCATCTCATTCGACGTCCACACAGTGAGCCACAGATCAGTCAACACTTGGAACACCTGCGCGTGGGTGTGCAACCAGAAGGCACAGTAATGTGCGACAGAGTGCAACATGAGTACTTTGAACCACCGTACACACGTGTAGTACTTGTCGTTCGTAGGTATCGATTTCCTTTGAACCACCGTACACACGTGTAGTACTTGTGCGTTCGTAGGTATCGATTTCCTTTGAACCACCGTACACACGTGTAGTACTTGTGCGTTCGTAGGTATCGATTTCCTTTGAACCACCGTACACGCGTGTAGAACCTGTGCGTTCGTAGGTATCGATTTCCTTTGAACCACCGTACACACGTGTTGTACTTGTGCATTAGTAGGTAGGTATCGATTTCAAACCGGTGCATATGTTCTTATCATCTTACTTGCGCGGACTCTACTTGTATGCACATTCGCCGCAGATTTGGCAGGTTTCGCTATACAATAACGGCTAAACCCTAAAACCCTGGTACTGCTGAACATACATGGTAGGCGTAAAAGAGCTTACCTGACCACTGGTGATGAGCGTGAGGATAGCCACCACAAACAGAACACCTCCGGCGCACAGCAGCCACGACCAGTACACCTACAGACAGTGAATGGAGAACAGGGATGGGATGAGGGTGGTATATACTGTGCTGGAGTGTCAAACCCTAAACCCAAATGCGGTGCGTGTAGACGTTCGTATGGGCTTATAGTGCGGGAGCAGACAAAGTGTTAGACCCTAAACCCTAAACTCTAGTACGGTGCATGCAGACGTTTTTATGTGCCTATAGTGTGGGAGCAAACAAAGTGTTAAACCCTAAACCCTAATACGGTGCATGTAGACGTTTGTATGTCCCACCAGTGCCAAAACAGACGAAGTGTAGCGCCTACGAGCATGTGCACGACGCCCAAGGTTCAAAGCGTTTACCACTAGATAAAGGTGCGCAGGACGAATCTAAATGTTTTTTATAAACGCATACGAGTGACCTCTGCCTAAGGTCAAGGAGATAGATTAGCAAGCCATGGATAAATCCAGGACATGTATACATATCAATTGCTAAGGTGAGAGAGACTATAAACGCTATACATGAACCATAACACTACATATAAATGCTATACATGAACCATTGCACTACATATAAATGCTATGCATGAACCATAACACTACATATAACCAGTTGGCAATATGAGTGAGAGCTAACTCTCCGATGGCGCTAACGGCTATGGAACGATCTACACTGACGCGTTCGTAATGTTGCTTCGACTCGTACATAAGTGTAATGTAGGGTACCCAAAAATATCCCACCAATGCGATGGCAAGCGATAGACACACAAGTATCATGCGTGCAACTGTTGATATATATACTCGGGACATTTGCACCCAAAAACTTACACCCAGGTGCACCACGCCTGCCTGGCGGTCTTCCTCGCCAATCAACTGCTTCCCATCTGCGACGGGGCAGGTGGCCACCTACAGTAGTGCGTGCACAGGTCAGTTGAGTCTTTGAGTGTCGTTGTATTGATCTGTGCTCTAATCACCGAAGTAGTTTGGGCCTTTGAGTGTCTCGGTGATTAGAGTAGAGAGTAATACAGAGAGTAGTATGCAGATGTGAGCAACGGTATCTGCAGCAAGCCTCGACGGACGCGTATTGCGGTAGGGAGTATAGGCACACAGAGCTACCTGTAGTGAGACACATAGGCGCACGCCAGCTGCAACTATTCACACACAAGGCACGCACACAGAGACAGTATTTTAATCAACACACCAGCAACAACCACAGCAGGCACAAACACACACTACGGAATCACACGCCAGCTGCAACTATTCAAGTACAACGCACGCACACAGAGACAGTATATTCATAAGCACACCAGCAGCAACCACAGCAGGCGCAAACACACACCCTCACACACAGGGCAAGCTAAGCACCAACATGAACGCCAACTGTCACTACTCGCTTGAGCATATTCCGCTCCAAACACCATATTTTAACCAACCGGCGCATGAATAATACACAGCTCCAAACATCGTATCTTAACCAACCGGCGCATGAACAATACACACAGAGACCCTCGCACAATGCAAGCACCAACATGAACGCCAACTGTCACTACTCGCTTGAGCATATTCCGCTCCAAACATTCTATTTTAACCAACCGGCGCATGAAAAATACACAGCTCCAAACATCGTATCTTAACCAACCGGCGCATGAACAATACACACAGAGACCCTCGCACAATGCAAGCGCCGTCGACCATACCGATGCTCTGTGTAGCTGTACGCAAACAACTGAAAACAACTTACACTGCTCTTTCTATACATAAACAACTCAAGGCAGCATAGACTGTTCTTCTCATACGCAAACAACTCAAGACAGCTTACACTGTTCTTCCTATACATAAACAACTCAAGGCAGCTTACACTGTTCTTCCCATACGCAAACAACTCAAGGCAGCTTACATTGTTCTTCCCACACGCAAACAACTCAAGGCAGCTTACACTGTTCTTCCTAGCCCCAGCTGAGGCGTCTGCTGGGTTGACGGATCGTAGCGAGTCTGAGTCATTGAACGCCTCGCCCTGTTTCTGCGGTTCTTTGTCTTCATTGGCGTGGCCATAGACATCCAACAGTTTACGCATCTCCCCGTCTTCATTACTGACCAGCTGGTCAAACGTCCCTGTGTAATAAGCCCCGCGTGTGAGTGTCTGGTGCGAATGTGCATTTACGTGCGGGTGCAGTTTCCGCCGCTGACAGGTTAGACAACCATGGACGGAGAGATAAGGCGACAAGGATCCGAGAGTGCGTGTAATGGGACGGTTTGGTACGCATCGGGAGTGATAGCCATGATCATAGGTGAGTGTGTATGGTGTGTTGTAGGTGTGTGCGAATGTGAGGAGTGATAGCCTTGATCATAGGTGAGTCTGTATGGTGTGTTGTAGGTGTGTGCGAACGTGTATGTGCCTTGTGGAGGCGGACACACGCGCCGAGATCCAACGAGGCCTATGAGTTGCGATGTAACGCCTGCAGCCGAATACCACACGCGCGCACAGGCCATGGCACAGACCCATGCGGTCAATCCCACTGTGAGCCAAACACAGTACCAATGGCAGACCTCCTGCCCCGCCAGGCTAGAGACTACAATGGAATACATACACGCTGCATATGTCTCGATTGTTTGGGACGTATGTGGAAGTCCAGAAACCGGGTTTGAGGACAGAAGGTCCTGCACTTAACACCTAGCAACGGAGCACATATGCTTATGCGACAGCGCCCGCCTGGAACACACACGCTCAGCCTACCCACACCACACCACATGACACACTCAACTCGGTGATGGTGTTGTTCTTATACACACACACTCGACCCATGCGGAGTACAGACTCATACCCTACCCACACCACTGACACACCCAACTCAGCGATGGTGTTGTTCTTAAACACACACACGCGATCACAGTGCGGCAGCACGTGTAGCTGGTTGGTGACCAGCACACGTGTCTTGCCGGCCATCTGCTGGACTATAGCCTTCTCAAACATGTGCTTGCCCACGTGCGCATCCACGGCACTTAGCGGATCATCGAGCAGGACTATATCCGCCTGTACAGAGTGATTGAGACTGTCGGTGATGGGTATGTATAATTGTAGTATGTTGTGTGATTGGTAGCGTGAGGGGCTTGCTTGGGGGAGAGGGTTGGGGATGTGTGGCGCGAAGCACAAGCACAAGCTGAAGCAGAAGCACAGGCACAGGTCCATCCGAGTACTAGAGAACGATTGAAACGGTATATAGAGAGATACTCAGAGCATGCCCTTTAAACTGGCTGAACCAATGTACTACACTCTGCAGCCCTGCCGATCGGTACAGACAGCCCCGTCAATCGCCACGGCTACTCGTTCTAGCGCTAATGAATGCTCCTGTGAATGGTTAAGTCCTACACACTCCATAGGCGATACTAAATATAACAAATACAATCACCCACCCTTGTCATAAAAATAATCACCCTCCTCCCCTCTCCCCAACCCCAAACCACACACACACACACACACACACACACACACACACTCATGTCATCGTGAACCTGAACACCAATCTGGCAGTTCCCCAGTGCCACCTACATCGTTGTATACGGCCCTTGCCACACTGATGCGCTGTTTCTGGCCCCCACTCAGATTGATGCCTCTCTCGCCAATCTCCACTTGATCACCCCCTGAGAGAATCTCAAGGTCTCGCCTCAACGCACAGCTCTCGATAGTCTGCACGTACGATACGCACACGCATATGATAGGTATAAGTATATCAAGAAGTATATATAGGCTTTTATATCGCAGAGAGGTATGCATACGAAGCCCTATATACCATGGGGCGAATCTATGAGATTTGGTACTCGGTGAGTGTTGTGACCGATACCGATCCACCGCTCCCTCAAGGGATGTGTAGCAGACCCAGGTACGGCAGAAACCACGACATGCTTACTAGCACCAGTGTCAAGAATCATTTTATCACTTGGTATGATCAAAGCACCACCACCTAGCAGCGCGAACATAACACACCTGTATGCTTACACAGAGCCTAAGAGTAACCTCCGTCTTTTCTCAGCGTTACCACTGAGCTACACAAAACCTTTGGGCCGTAAACGAGCACGGACATGCACGGGAGAGAAGTACAGCATATGCGGTGCATGCCCGCGCGTGGTGTGTATATACAGAGTCATTAGTAGCCACAATAATTTTAAAACCCAACAGAGACTCATAGCTACATCCAGTGCATCTGGTGTATACAGTACTACGAGATATGACACAAATCTCTGCCAGCGCTGGTCTGGTGCATCTGGACGCGTGTGCTTGCACCCGTACGCTACCAGTCCATAGCCACACCTGATCATAGCGCTCCTGGTTGAAGTCTTTCCCAAACACCACATTGTCTTTGAGGGTGCCGTTGAGTATCCATGCTTGCTGCGCCGCGTATGCCACACTCCTGCGATAGTACGTATGTGAAACGAAGGACTTGAGAATAGATAGGTATATTTAACCGCTTCACACAGATCCTCACTAAAGTGTACCACCTCCGCTGCCAGATTACCGACGGTTGACCTAGTGTAGCTGGAGGTTGAATGATGGCATAGCTTGTACCTTCGACTAAACCTTGTGCGTATGATCGTTTCTCCGCATCCGTTTGTACTCACTCATACAACCTTAGTCAAATATGCCATGTGCCTTAGGCAACTCACCAGGACAGACGTGTTGCCTCAGATGTGACCACATCTGCTATCGATCCCACCCTTTAAACTAACTATGCACACCCAACGAGGAAAGGAAGCTCAGCACAAAACAAAACAAAACAAAACAGTACAAAACGTCAATACTACGACTTCCAAGCCTGGATACATACCCGTTAACGTACACATCGCCATCTGCACACGTCATGTCACCAATCAACGCCGCAAGGAACGATGACTTGCCACTGCCCACAGCCCCCACCACCGCAAACAGCTCACCCGGCTGTATCTGCACATTCAACGCACGCAGCTCAAAGCCATGCTGTGTGCGGTTGGTGGGCTCAAACTTGCTGACTATACTGTCCTGTCAGGATAGGGATGTTCCCGGGGGAGGATGGGGTACGCCGTGAGGATGATTTAATTGAAGTG